TGTAGCTTTGCGCGAAATTCAAAACAAACAAACAATTCTTATGACCTAGTTTTATTTGTCTCTCCTATATTTGTGACAACGTTTGCAGAGGGTAAAATTCATTGCTCTTTGTATGTCTAAAATTAAATTATCTTATTTTTATACATCACAAACAAGTATAATTAGCAAATGTATTTATTAACGATCTAGTCCATTGTCAACGAGATTCAAGTTATAAATGCGACAGTCAACAATTCAGCTTTTCTTTTTTTCCTTCTGTTTTTGGTCTAACATAAATTTTAATTTCATTCTACTAGCAGGATTACAGTGAGATTTAATTGCATATGAAAGGGCCGCAATGGCGCGAAAGAGGCAGATCTGTAATTGTAGAAGCGGATTGGTTAAGTGGAAGTAAAGAGAACGCTCGCAGCTGACTTAAACCAATACTAGCACAACATAACCGCGAACCGGGCACGTGAATCCCCGGAAGCTGTAATTGGCCTTCCCGCTGAGTAAGAAGCAGCCTATTTGCTGTGGCGGGTTGACTTTTCATATACAGTGTATATTGTCGGAAAGACCTATGGTGTCAATTTCGACTCTTATCTCTCTCCTGGCAGGTGCAAGACACCCTTGGTGCAGTATGGAGTGTTGTCACAGAGGGGAAACCAATTGGTCTTAATTTGTATTGGTGCCGCTATAGTTGATCCTCAGTTTCTGGACGCCCAGTGTTTGTGTCGGGGCAGGATGTTATCACTTTTATCTTGTTTTAGCGGTATTAGTACGATCTATTAAGAAGGCTCGTGGAGTAAAATAAACTGATCATGATGACGAATAGGGAAGTGACCACTTAATACTGTATACAGGCAATTTGTTTTTCTTTTTTTTTTGTCAGAGAAAATTGGCTACCTTTTCTTTTTTACCGTTGTCCACGTTCTGACCACTCATGGGTTGCCTTATTAAGTACTGATATTTAAAAAAGTTTCTCTTGGACATAAACGTTTCTCGTGTTTCTGACCATTGAAGCAAACTTTTTATATCCAGGAATGTTACTAATGACGTAGCCTTTTTTAACAAAGAACGTTTATACCGACGATATGCAAACAGGGCTAATTAAAGTCTGCCTTTTGTTATTTTTCCTCATATCTCACGTGACCGCTATTCAGTGGCTGTAAGTAATCTTTCAGATGTTATATTTATTATGTTTATTAAAAGTTGACGTTATAATATGGTATAAGTTAGGTGATTTTGTTTTGATAGTTTCCCTTTCACTGATTGAATCAGATTAACCACGATATTCACAATAAGTTTACGTACTTTGAAGATGTATTGGATAATGAATATGATTGCCCATCTTAGTATTTCTCCATAATTTATCTACATGGTTTCCAATATCAAGATGTAGTAAGCTTATATTCGTTTTTCTATTAGGATACCACGTATTTTACAGTTTTGTAACTTTAATTCCGGGTTAACAACCATACGCCGGAAGAACTATCTTCATCAGACTTTCTTGTTTCTCACATGTACTACAGTTTAGTAATCAAAATATTGCTTAGGGGGTGGGGGTTCACGCCCGCACGTCATTTGAGAAGCGTTATTATCACTATATTTCATTTTTAAAAAGCCGCTAATAAGTTATAGCTAATCAAAATAAAACATTCTGGATATAAGAATTTCACATAAAATTTGAAACAGCTGCATGCACATGTATAGTTTAACTTTAAAATTCTAAAATTAATTTGTATTTTACTAGCGCGTTTTGGGTGTTCAATTTGACAGTTGTCTAAGTACGTACCTTTGTATATATATATATAAAAATATATGCATCTCTTGGTCACGTGCACGGTTAGGGATTTGTACTACTTCACACAATGCATGATGTTTATTGCAACTGACAAAAAATACTTTGAGCATAACTTGATATTTATGTGATGGACAGCCGCAAAGTTTGTTCATTTCCTGTGATAGCACTCACAGGGATGGTTGATGATACTCATAGAGCGTTATTAGTTGTCGGGGTGGGGTGGTCTAGGGGCTGAAGAATGTACTTTGGTCGGTACATCCAACAGCTTAATGCGGCGAGACAGATCATTTGTCTTCGTACGCACACAGACTATACGAAAATGCAATTCGAGACAAATGTGTTACTGTTTTCTGAGTCTTTATTACACAGTGTTGAACCGTGGATTTGATCGACTAATATAATCTATTCTGTTTTTAGCAAGTACTTTGTACAGTTTCTTATGCATTGCTCATCCACGATAGTTTCTATAATATTTGGCTCTTGCAAAAAATTAATTTTTATAATGTTTAAAGTTTTATAAAATATTTATAGTTTTAAAGTACTTTTTTAACTTTCATTTCTTTATCCTGAAACTTCGAACTGGTACCCTTAGATTTTTTTCCTGTTAGATTAAACTTTGTTTAACAAAAATGTAAAAAGTTCCGTAATTCCCATTATACATAACTAAATGTGTTAACAGGCTAGCACAAGTGGGCGTAACATCTACAAATTTGTCGTCATACGAGCGTATTAGCCCACATTAGGTTTTATATATTATTTCCCAGTAGTTCAGTTAAGTTAATAGAACTGGGGGTTTTCTATGATAGAGATACAATGTTTTATGATTTTGGGGGCGGAGAAAATTTTTAAATGAATAACTACCTTTCAGTACTGAAGCAAGCTCGATGATGTCTTCCTTTCTGGCTAAATTTCGTACTCACATATCTCATACCTAGTGATGCAAAAATTTAACACGTGATAGAATCTATATAAAATATCGTAGCTGGTTGTAATCTGCCTCTCTCAGCTAATTATGGTTTGTGAGTTGCCACAGAGCCAAAGGGCTGGTGTACTAACCAATTATGTTAAATATAGCTATAGAAATATTAAATCAATACAAATAGATAGAAGCAATTCAATTACACCAGAGATGTAATGTTATTAGTGACATGGGAATTGGTGGGACAAGCAGAGTATTTGTTATTTTTAATGAACGGTGCCTTATGCGACACGCCGGATAAGCTGCTATGTCAGAAACTGTAAAGTCTCAGGCATAGCCATCCGTAACGTAACGTAGAACTCCTTACCAGAGAGCAAAAAGTCAGCAGCACATAAGAATTTAGGCAAAAGGGACATTTTCTGTATACAGGGCCGTATGGGGGCTTGAAAGACCCATCGCAAAATTTGAAAGTTTTATATATAAAGAAAATATTAATAATGAAATTAAAGAAAACGGCCAAATAAGGTATAGAAATGGCAAAAAAGTAGTAAAACTCTCATTCTTATTTTCATCTCTACTTTCAATATTTTTTGAACTAGCTTTGGACAAAAAAACCGATTGAGTTGTGAGCATTAATTTACTTGCAGTACGAATTTGAAAGAGAAGACTTAACAAAGTTCGAGATCAACATATTTTGGTTTAGCAGCCAGGTCGCAATCACCCAAATATCCGCTGTCAGAGTGTTTCTGATCGTAGAACAATTCCTTGTTATCGACTTTCTCAGACATGTGCTCAGCTTGCGTGATGTTTTTAATCATCACAGTGACAGTTGTAAACAAAGGAGTGACCGAACTGGACCATGAACGGGGTTAAAAAATTCTGCTTTAAAGCAGCTATCAGTGTATTCGCTGAGGAGAAAACGTGTAAGAAACGTCTTAAGTAATGGTAACCACAACCATTATTGAACAGAAATCATTTCAGTTCTTGTATCATTTATTATTTTATGCAAAACTATTAAATAACATTGAGAATGGCTGCGGAATAAAGGAAGGGACATATGCGACTGTGTGAGAAGGGTTAGAGAATAGAAGGAGCGTCATTGGAATAATCTTGCACCAGCGCCTTTCATACCCTTCTTATGTCATTTCTGGATCCATCATTGGGATTTAGATCGTTGTTGCGACCTGTGAGGGTCGGGTTCTTAATGGACCTCTTCCTCCCTTACGTCATTTGTGTAGTTTGTTTGTTTTGAATTTTGCACAAAGCTACACGAGGATTATCTGCACTAGTCGTCCCTAATTTAGCAGTGAAAGACTAGAAGGAAAGCAGCTAGTCATCACCACCCACCACCAACTCTTGGGCTACTCTTTTACCAACGAATAGTAGGAGTGACCGACACATTATAATGCCCCAACGGCTGAAAGGGCGAGCATGTTTGGTGCGACGGTGCGAACCTGCGACTCTCAGATTGTGTAACAAGCGCCCTAACCACCCGGCCAGATTTGTGTAGCTAGTTATCGTGGTCAACCAATACTGTTCTTTCATAAAACTAAAACAGAATTGTATGAAGTAAATTATTTTTTAAAGAAGTTGCTAAATAATTTTATAGATGAAATTTCGGCATATTATGTGTCCTTTGTAAATTCAAAGTTTAAAATAATTGAGGATAAAAAACCTTTAAAATAAAGGTTTGTCATAAATATTGGAACTATAATAATTAATTAATTAATTTGTTTGTATCGTTAGTCTTAATCAGAAGCCTTATATAAACTCTACCATAGGACAGATTCAGAATATATAAAAAAGAAACAGCAATGTTTGAAAAATATACGTGATAAGTTTCCGACCACGTGTAATGAAAACGAGTGTCTTCTCAAAGGAAATTCTCTCCACGCTAATACTGAAGTTTTTTCGAATATTCGTTAACAGACCCTAATTTTCAGCAGCACACATCATTAACTTTCGAGCTACCCTTATAACGCACCCGTGGCTCCAAAGTACAGAACGCAATTTTGTGAGAACAGGATGCGAGCTATGGATCCTTGACACACTAACCACTAAGCCTGGCCACTAATGATAAAGATCTCATCATATATTAGACGGTTTTTGAAAGTGAGTATATCTAACTAGCTTGAATATTAATAGATATTTGTAAAAGTTGCTTTTGTTTCAAATGTTTTAAAGGCATTTCGATATAAAAACTGACTTAAACAAACTGCTAAGAAGGGAAAATAGAAATTATGATGGTAACACAAGTAGAACGTTTCGCTAATTTCATTTACTGAACGTACTGGACGTGGCCTAATGGTTAGCGTATCAAGACTGTGAACTTATGAAAGCGTGTCTCGAATACCACTGCCACAGAAACGCGATCCTCAGTTTGGGACCATGGTTGTACTTTAAAAGTGACGTTCAAATCCCAGTATTAGTTGAGACGAGAGTAGCCCAAAAATTGACGGTGGGTACTTTCGACGAGTTGCCTTCTCCCTAGTCTATCTGTTCAAAATTAGGAACTGTATGTGCAGATGGTCAATAAAAAAATTATAACACATTGTTAGAATAACTCTTCTATCTATGTACCTTTATGACCTTTACTAAAATGGCCTGGCATAGGTTAGTGGTAGCGTGTCAGGAAGCGAATCGAAGTGTCCGATTATCAGGACGAGATACTACCAAATGCGCTCCACATTCTCAGCTGGGAACGCGTTATATGAATAACAGTCAATCCCGTTATTCATGGGGCAACGGGTGCTGCCGGCCAACTTCCTTCCCTCTAGTCAGTAAAACCTAGTTCAAAATTAGGGACAGCTTTGTTTGTTTTTAGTAATGTAGTTTTGAGTATTGTCATGAAATCTTGTCCTTACTATTAAACCACACAAGTTGAGTTCTTTTTTTACAATCAGATAATGACAGACGACACATATCTCCTATTCGGTAAAATATCAAAAAGTAAAGGCCCGGCATGGCCATGTAGTTAGGGCGCTCGACTCGCAATCTGAGGGTCGCGGGTTCGAATCCCCGTCCCACCAAACATGCTCGCCCTTTCAGTTGTGGGGGTGTTATAACGTGACGATCAATCCCATTATTCGTTGGTGAAAGAGTAGCCCAAGAGTTGGGGTGGGTGGTGATGACTAGCTGCCTTCCCTGCTAAATTAGGGACGGCTAACGCAGATAGCCCTCGTGTAGCTTTGCGCGAAATTCATAACAAACAAACAATCAATAAGTAAAAGTATTTTTTAATCAGCGTTAGTTTTACATTTTTCATATAGTTTATATTCGTAAATTTGGACAAATGATAATTATTAGGAAAATTCGCCACACTAGTGACTAATATAATGATTAAGGTCCGAGGGCGACTAGTTTCTTCAAGTGCTCATCCACAAAAATCATTCTTTAGTTGCTTTTTTTGTACAGCTCACTTTAATAAAGTAACAAACGCTGAAGT